GGTGCATTTTGTGCAATACTTCAAAGACAAAAATGAGGCAATGTGGCTAAAATATTATTTATAATAAGAAAGAGACACTTTCTTCTTCAAATTAAATAACAATTGGTGAGAGTGTTCAAAGGAGTAACATTAATCAAGATTCATTGTATTTATATACTAGATTGTTGAATGGCAACTCCTTTGTACAACTACTTAAAGATAGAGATAAAACTAAAAAATAAAATATAATGGCAAATGGCATATGTGCAAATCAAACCATAGATTAGGTCCTACTGAATGTCAACTCTAAAAATAAGCCAGCTCGGGCTGGGAAGGTAGCTCAGTGGTAAAAATAAGCCAGCTCAACAAGTCTAAACTGGGAAGAAAAGTCATAATATTTCAGCCTTATCATTATAAGGTTGTCTAAGACATGATATTTCGCAAGTTTACAGAAGTATTTCAAATAATATTCCATGCATATACCACACAAAGTACTTCAAATTTGACTTCTATCTACTGGATGAGTATCTTTTATCCAAAATACTTGGGCCAGAATTGTTTCAGATTTGCAGTTTTTCCAGATTTTGGAATACTGGCATTCATATACTGAGAGAACTTGTGAACGAAAGATCAAGTCTAACAAAGAAATTCATTTATGCTTCATATATACTGCACACACAGTAGTATTATATAATATTGTTCATAAACCTGTGTTTTAACTATCTACCTCCAAATAAAGGCTAGGCATAGAATTTTATATCTGTGGTCTCTCAAAATCTTTAGGTTGCTGAAATTTTCAGATTTTGGATTTTCAGATGCTCAACCTTTATTACTCGATACAATTAAATACAGTAAGATATTTAGTTTAAATGATCCTCAAAGTGCAGAATTTGAACTCTTGGTAATTGGTCATTCAGAAAATTTGTCAAAGTGCATACTGAGGCAATTGGGTACAGGAATGAAAAACATATCATTAACAAGTCAGAGACACAGTTGGCTAGCATTAGTGTATAATCACAAAGTCCTCAAGAGGTTACAATAACTTTATTTCTGGGAAAAAAACAGCCTCATTAAGTGAGCTTAAGGATAAGTAGAAAAATATAATTAATCTGTGTCATGTTACTGTGGATTGAAAACACACGAATCAGAACAGAAAATAGATTCTAGGTAAGAAAAAAAAACGAAACAGCTGGTACAAAGAAAGATTTTTTAAAAAAATCTCCTTTGCAGAAGAAATGATTACCTATATAAGTAATCTGAAAGAATCTACAAAAGTTCCCAAAGTAAGTGCCTCATATATATAAAAAATTGCATTTCTAGCTGGGCACTGGTGGTTCATACATGTAATTCTAGCAACTTAGGAATCTGAGATCTGAGGAACCTGGTTTGAAACAAACTGGGGTAGGAGAGTCCATGAAACTTTATCTCCAATTAATCATCAAAGAACCAAAGTGGAACTGTGACTTAAGTGGTAGAGTGGTAGCCTTGAGCCAAAAGAAGCTCAGGGACAGGGCCCAGGTCCTGAGTTCAAGCCTCAGGACTGGCAAAGAAAAAAAAGAAAACACCAGCATTTGTATATAATAACAGTCATTATTTGAAAACCAAACCAAAAAGACAATACCATATATGACTATTCCAAATAGAACTGAATACATAAGTACATAATGAACAAAACACACAGAAGTAGTATGCTGAAAATTATTGATGATGAAAATAAAAGACAACCTCCATAAACAGGGAAACATATCATGTTCATCTAAAGAAAGACTTCAAACAATAAAGATGCTGATTCTTTCTAAACTGATCTACATATTTATTTCTTAAGGATAATTTCTATTTAATTGTCAGCATTTTTAGATATACTCAATTTTATTAAAGCATTTATATGGAAAAGCATAATGCCTAGAATAGCTAAAATAATTTGAAGAAAACAATAAAGTCTGCTATCAGACCTATTATATAACTACAGTAATGAAGACAGTATGATAATGATGAAAAAAAGTCATGTAGATCAATGGAATGGAAAATAAATTTAGAAACCTATCCAGAAAAATATAGCTATATGATTTTTGACTGGTGCAAAAGTAATTCAATGGAAAAGGAATAGACTTTTGAACAAAAGCTGCTGCTTAAAGCAACTACATATCCTTAGAATGGGAGGAAAAGAAGCATATTGATCTAAATGTGACACTATACACACAAAAAAAATTAAAGTGGACCATAAACTTAAATAAAAATAAATAGGAGAAGGTTTTTAGGTTTTAATGTAGGCAAGGAATTGTAAGGTTTGATACCAACAGCCTACTTTATAAAAGTTGAAAAACTACATCTCATCAAAATTAAAAATACTTGCTCTGTAAAATATTTTGTTCAAAAAGGATAGAAAGACAAGCTATAAACTGGAGAAATTATTCTCAAACCACATATGTAACAAAGGACATATATCTAGGATAAAGAATTCTGAAAACGGTGGACCTGTTGCAACAATGAGAAGTACAAAATGTCATGTCAAAACCAGCTTTACAATGTTGGTGGGGGGGGGGGGAAGGGGGGGTATGATTGGTTGGGAGGGAGGGGGGAGGCTGGGAAGGGAGGTGAAGGGTAAACAAAGGAGGAGGCTGCAATGCTTGGTAAGAAATGTATGCATTATCCTGCCCATGTAATTGTAACCCCTCTGTACAGTATGTTCTCAAATAAAATAAAATAAAATTAAAAAAAAAAAAAAGAATTCTGAAAACAACAGTAAAGAACCAATTCAGCTGGGTACTGGTGGCTAACGCTTATAATTCTAGCTACTCAGAAGACTGAGATCTGAGGATCGTGGTTCAAAGCCAGCCCAGACAGAAAAGTCCATGAGACTCTTATCTCCAATTAACCACTGAAAAACAGAAGTGGCACTGTAGCTCAAATTGGTAGAGTGCGAGCCTTGAGCAAAAGAGCTCAGGGACAGTGCTGAGGCCCTGAGTTCAAGCCCCATGAGTGACAAAAAAAATTCAATTAAATAATAAGAAAATGACATAACTCATATTGCATTTCACTCAAAACGATATACAGATGGCAAATAAGCATATGAAAAGATACTTTAAAAATCAGTCATCTGGGAGATTTATATTCAAGCATGAAAAAGGTATCACTGCACACATCAGAATTCTAAAATAAGAAAAGTGATATCAAATTTGGGTGAAGATGTAGAAAACCTGAATCTTCCATATTATTCTTCATAAATTGGATTATTTTGGGTGGGAGCATGAAGTTGTAGAATTCTTCTGAAAAAGAGTTGGGTGTTTTATTTCAAAATTTAACATGTAATTATCCTATGGCACTTGGATATTTGTAACACATAATGAAAACTTTTATCCAGAGAAATGTTTATATCATAAAAATACTAATTAAAAAACCTATACACAATACTGGACAACAGTTATTTTTAACAAATGTTTATAACAGAAAAATATTCATAAAAACCTGTATGCAATACTGGACCACAGATTTATTTTGACCAGCCCATTTCTGGAAAAAATCCCAGATATTTCTCAATGAGAGGATGATTAGAAACTTATGCTCCCACAGTAGAATACTGCTAAACAAGAAAAAAATAAACAAGTGATGTACACAAAAGTTGACAACAATTGATGCACACAACAACCAGGATGAATTTCTAGAATATTATGCTAAGAAAAGCCAATGACAAAAGGTTTCATAAAATATAGTTCTATTTATATAACATTTTCAAAATGATAGGATTAAAGAGAAAACTGTTAGTGACTGCTAAGAGTCAGGGATTTGAGGTAGGAGCTAAGGAGGAAGACTATGAGGTATGGTTACAAAAGGGCAATAGCAAGAATCCTGAGGTGATAAAACTTTTCTAAGAATGTTGAAATCCCCACTTCCACCACTCTTGATTCTCAAATTGCATATATGATAAAAGATTTTTATTGTATACTCATTACTGGTTAATGCTCTACAAATGTGTTTGTATGTATTGCTCAGTGTAGACATTTATGTTAAATTTAGGTGAATTAAAAGTAATTATTACTTTAATTAGGAACTTTAAAAAACTGTGGTGGTGGATACATGAATCTATATATGTAATACAATATGGAAAACTATACAAATCATAAACTCTAGGACTGCAAAAGATAATATGAACTCAATAACACGTATGTGAAAAGGAGTAATGAGGAACTGGATATATATACAGCTCAAGTATTAGAATGCCAGATATGAGGGAAAAAGACAAGTGAAAAGGCCCAGATTTCAAGCCTCAGGACTAGAACCAAAAAGCAAGTAATAACAAAAGGCCAGGAACTTGTACTACACATTTCAGTATTTACAAAAGAATATGCACGAAGATAGTAGGATATTTCCCTCAAGAAATGTCCAAGATCTGTAAGAAAGGTATAAGCATATTTACTTGAAAAGAAGTATAGTTTCAAAAAAATAAAGTTTCCTAGCTAACTAAAGTTACCTATTAAAATTATAAATTTTTATACTAGCAAAATGTACTTCAAACCCTCCTACTTGTCAAGTGAAAGATTGAAAACATTATTTAATTTATACCTGAAGACACTGAAACATAATTATGATTATTGATTGTTTGTTTTTGTATATTTTGGGGTTTTTTTGGTCAGTTATGAAGTTTGAACTCAGGGCCTGGGTGTTCTCCCTGAGCTCTTTTGCTCAAGGCTAGGACTCTACCACTTTGAGCCACAGCACCACTTCTGGTTTTCTGGTGGTTAACTGGAGATAAGAGTGTCATGGTCTTTCCTCTCTGGGCTAGCTTCAAACCACAATCCTCAGATCTCAGCCTCCTGAGTAGCTAGGATTACAGGTGTGAGCCACCAATGTTCTCCTTCATTGATTGTTATACTGCGTTCAATAATATGGTGCTGACCTTAAAGGATCTCTTGGTACAAAAAGTCATTTAAACAGCCAAGAGCACTCTGTAATTGCAGACGTTGTTGTCGGTTTCTTCCAAAGAACTAGAAGAAAAAGTTATCCTACATGAATGTGTTTCATACCTGGCAAAATAAAATACTTCCACATGTTGAATGGTTTTGTCCTTACTGTTAAGCTCAATGGCTTCTTCATTGTCAAGGATATGCTCTTGCCATGAACTCTCAGTCACAGTGTCACTTCCTTCCTAAAAAAACCACAGATAATAAGTTCATTAATTGTAGGATCTGAATCTGCAATTTTTTGAGAATATGTATTTTAATCTCATCAGTACTAAAAGGATTATCACTTCACAAGAAATGAAGTGATTCCAGCAGAGAGTGCCAACTTTAAAAGAAGCAAACTGTAAAACCTATATTATCAAAATATAGAATTTGCTGGGGACTGGTAGCTCACACCTGTAATCCTATCTAAAGCAGAAGCTGAGATCTGATGATTACAGTTCAAAGCCAGACTGGGCAGAAAACTCTGTGAAACTATTATCTCCAATTAACCACTAGAAAACAGGAAGTGGAGTTGTGGCTAAAAGTGGTAAAGCGCTAGCCTTGAGCACAAGAGCTCGGAGACAGCATGCAGACCCTGAGTTCAAGCCCCATGACCAACCAAAAAAAATAGAATTAGTGTACACATTTTTTCTACATTGTGAATTTTTATGAAAAGTGCAGGATCCTGGATTCTATCTACTTCTAAATCATATTTAATTGTGATAGTGTATAAAACTTTTGTGTGTGTGCCAAACTCAGGGCCTGTGCACTGTCCCTGACCTTTTTTGGTCAGGGCTAGTGCTCTACCAATTGAACCATAGCTTCACTTCTGGTTTTTTGATGCTTTACTAGAGATAAGAGTCTCCCAGACTTTCCTACACAAGCAAGCTTCTAATCTTGATCCTCAGATACCAATTTCCTGAAGAGCTAGGATTACAGGCATGAGCCACCAACATCCAGAATAAAACCATTTTTGAAAAGTACTCAGCACAATATAACTAATGATTTTTTCTTTTTTTGCCAGTCGTGAGGCCTGAAGGGTGCTGTCCCTCAGCTCTTCAGCTCAAGGCTAGCACTCTACTACTTGAGCCACAGTGCTACTTCTAGCTTTTTCTGCTTATGTGGTACTAAGGAATCGAACCCAGGGCCTCATGTATGCAAGGCGAGCACTCTACCACTGAGCAACCTTCCCAGCCCATAACTAAGAATTTTATAATAAGCAAATGCTGAACATTTTCTATTTGGAAAGAAAATAACAAGAAATAATGAAGTATGCATATTAAAATAGGCCCTTTAAATTTTTCAGCAATTCCTAATGACATTTTATAAAGAAAATTACATAATATAGCAATATTTGAATACAGTGGATTTTCAAAAGTACCAAGATACAGTTTATACCTCTTTCAACTGTTAAAGGCCAGTTTTGGTGATAGTACTGGGGTTTTAATTCAAGGCCTTACACTCGCTTGTCTTTCTGGTTAAACCACACTCTTAGCTTGGAATTTTGCTTAACTTGGAATTTTGTTTACATTTGGGCATTCTTACAGTGTAACCATGAAGTGGTATCAAGTATCTATGACTTAGTTTATACCAAATATAGTTATTTTTGTTTTAATATACTCTGTACTATCATAACATCAAAAATAGCTGACAAGGCAACTGTGCATATTTTCCACAAATAACTGAATAAAATATATTATCAATCTTGTATTACAGAGGAAGATTAATATTTCTTCAATGCAGGTTATGTGACACAAAATAAAGTCTAGTAAATTAGAAGATAGGGATCAGATAAGAACTTACCTGATATTCTTTTAGCCAGGAAAGCAGTCCTGAAAAGCTAAAACTAGCCCAGTTTCCTCCATAGTAGCTTCTTCTATAACAATAAAAAATGAAAAGGATGTAAAAATATAAGCACCAATCTTCATCAAAGCACCCTCGACCCTTAACTCATTATATCTTCTAATATTGCTTCTTCAAAAGTTCAAAAGAACACATAAATGGAATACTGATATAAAAAGCTGAAAGAAAATTAGTACTCTCACCAGGTCATCACTGGACATACCAGTCATCTTAGAAACTCAGGATGCTGAGACCTGAGGATAAATGTTCAAAGCTGGCCAAAAATAAAAATAAAAAATAAAAAAAATAAAAAATAAAAAAAAATAAAAAATGAACAACAATAACAACAACAAAAAACCACTGGGAGACTCCTCTCCAATTAACCAGCAAAAAACATACTGAACCAGGTGCTGGTAGCCCATGGCTGTAATTTTATCTACACAAGAGACTGAGATCTGAGGATCAAGGTTTGAAGCCAGCCTGAGCAGGAAGTCCTCGAGACTCTTATCTCCAATTAACCATCAAAATGCCGAAAATGGAGCTGTGGCTAAATGGCAGAGTGGTTCACCTTTGAAGTAAAAGCTCAGGGACAGCCACCCAGGCCCTGAGTTCAAGTTCCAGGACCAGCAAAGAAAGCTAGACTGTAGGCATAGTACACCACAAGTAGTACACCACTAGCCATGAGCTGAACAAGTATGAGGCCCTAAATTTAAGCCCTTTTACCATTGTGCATGCACATATGGTCGCACACATAAACGTATATGCACAAGAGCTTGCACACATGCATGCACATGCATGTAAGCATATACACATATCTCACATCCCAAAGGAAACTTTTCATTGTACAAGGAGTTAAAAAGTTATCTTTGGGGGCTGGGAAGGTGGCTCAGTGGTAGAGCGCTTGCCTTGCATGCATGAGGCCCTGGGTTCAATTCCTCAGCACCACATAAGCAAAAAGAAAAAAGCCAGAAGTGGTACTGTGGCTGAAGTGGTAGAGCGCTAGCCTTGAGCTGAAGAGCTGAGGGACAGCACCCAGGCCCAGAGTTCAGGCCCCACGACCTGACCCAAAAAAAAAAAAAAAAAAGTATCTTTGGCCTCCTCAGAGCTCTCTTCCTTGTAAACAGCCTTACAGTAGAAACTGGGCAGGTAACATGAATGAGCATGAATCCTGGATTGACAAAAATGGTTAAGAAGAGAGCCTTGGTTGATTTTAAAAAAGCCATAGAGAAACTAGTCATTGTTCTCTAAGCAGTTACAACTCTACCACAGCTATGTCACTTATCTATATACCCAAATACTCATTCCTTTATTTTCTATTCAATTCTCCCCTCTTCTTCCTTCTGCAATCCTCTCCCTTCACTCTCTCCTTTCTACTCTCTGCTCTCTCTCTTTCTTTCTTTCTCACACACTAACAAATTGGCTGTTCTACATAAACTTGCATTCTAGAAGAGGGCATAGCTATTCACGTCACGTTGTCCTAAAGAGAAGAGGAACAGAATTCCTAAAGATACCCGTTTGCGATTATTCTTCATTCTACAGTCATGTGAAGATCACTTCTGTTCTGAATAACACAGAGCTCTCCTAACTCTAAGATCAGGTAAACTTTGTAGACAATAGACTTACTTGGAGACTTCTGGCAATTAGAAATCCTGCGCTGACTACTGATTTTCCTAATTCTTGGGTGTGATTTTTTTTTTAAATTCTCAGTGGTTTTAATACAGTCATGATATACAAACATCACTTTCTAGTTTCAAAATACGTTCTTCACCCTGAAAGTAAATCCTATACCCTTTAAAGCAGCTCCCTCCCATGCCTTCCTCCCTCTAGCCTTTGGCAGCCAGAGATGACATGCATTATTTCTCTATAGGTTCATTCATTCTACACAATTCCTACTATAAAAGACATACAATATGTAAACTTGTGTCTAGCATCTTTCACTAAATCTAATGTTTTTACCATTCATCCACATTGTAGCATATATCAGTACTTTGTTCCTTTCTATGGTTGAGAAATATTGATTCATGTAGACATACCACTATACAAATATAACATTACACATATAAAACTATAGCTAGATAACTATATACTGTGAATGGATTGCATATTTTTAAGGTATATAAGTCAGCTATGAAGTGCAAGGTTAATTTTGGTAAACTAATCCTCCACGTAACTGACAACCTTACTAGGAAACAATGATGGGCTGGCTGGGTGCCAGTGGATGGCGCCTGTAATTCTAGTTACTCAGGAAGCTGAGAGCTGAGGATTGTGGTTTGAAGCAGCCAGAGCAGGGGCAGGAAAGTCTGCAAGACTCTTATCTCCAATTAAGCACCATAAAATGCATGAAAGTGGAGCCCTGGATCAAGTAGAAGAGAAGAACTAGACTTGAGGGGGGGAAAGCCTCAGAAGACAGCAGCCTGAGTTCAAGCCCTAGGACAGACAGACAGACAAACATGGACACGAACATGATGGTATTCCTCAAACTATGGTGCAGCGGAGGCCTGGCTGTTTTGGAACCCATACCCTCTCCACCGGGTTCTGAGACCTCTAGTGGAGCAGGCACAGGCACAGGCACAGAGTTGAGGGTCAAGGTTGAGTGATTGTCCACTCCACCTATTGGGGGAATGGGCTGAGGCCATGCTAACAGGGTTGGTCCCTCAGCCAATCAGTATTGGAAGTGGAGTGGGAGGGTCAAATGGGCTACAATCCTTTCATGAGCAATTCACTAAGAAGCAATAGCAGCCTAATAATACAACTCTGGGGAGGGTATCCATGCTGGCAAGCACTGGTGTCCCTCCTTCTCCAGCCTACTCCCACGTTGGCCCCACCATAATGCCCAAAAAATAAGGTCAGCTACAATGAAGGGACAATGAAGAGGTCAAAAGAAGATAGGGACAGTTGTCTACTAATTCTGCCCCTGCAAAAATGGAAACCAAAGCAAAAAAAAAAGGAAAAGAAAGAAAGAGAGAGAGAGAGAGGGAGAGGGAAAGAAAGAGAGAAAGAAAGAGAGAAAGAAAGAGAGAAAGAAAGAAAGAAAGAAAGAAAGAAAGAAAGAAAGAAAGAAAGAAAGAAAGAAAGAAAGAAAGAAAGGAAGGAAGGAAGGAAGGAAGGAAGGAAGGAAGGAAGGAAGGAAAGAAAGAGAAGGAAAGAGAGAAAGAGAAAGAAAAGAAGGGAAGGAGGGAGGGAGGGAGGAGGGGAAGGAAGGAAGGAAGGAAGGAGGGAGGGAGAGAGGGAGAAGGAATAAATACCTATACTTCTCCTGTGTGAATGTATCACAGTTTAGTAATCCAGGTTACTTTTGGGTACTAATATTACTTTTATGAACTCATCTAGGAACTTCTAAGCAACATTCCTTGGAACACAGTCCTATGTGTCAATGAATGGTTTACATAAAAAACTGCTGAGTTAGAAAAAATGAGTATTTTCAACTTTAATTATGACTGACAAACCCTCAGATCACAGAACTGGATAATGACTCAGGATATGAATTCACCTGTTCCTACATGTATGGAAACAGTCATGGTTGCTTGAACTGGTACTGGAGTTTAGATGAATTAAGCTTCTTCTCAATTCCTATAAAGAATTATAATGCTATTCACCCTTAGGTGATTGTATGATGAACTGCAACATATACTCAATCCCACCTACAAAATGCATTTGGTTCTAGCTGGGACAACTTCCTGGCTTTGTTTCCATATTCATATTTCTTCCTGTGTATCTTTCCCTAATGGAATAAAAATCTATAAAAGCTCACTTGATCATTAGATTAAAAAATAAATTTTTAATATTATGCCCAAAATTCTCTCATAATGATATTAAACATGGTCTCAAAATTCCAATACATGGGCTGGGAAGGTGGCTCAGTGGTAGAGAGCTTGCCTTGCATGCTAGAGGCCCTGGGTTCGATTCCTCAGCACCACATTAGCAGAAAAAAAAAGCCCGAAGTGGTGCTGTGGCTCAAGTGGTAGAGTGTTAGCCTTGAGCTGAAGAGCTGAGGGACAGTGCCCAGGCCCAGAGTTAGGACCCATGACTGGATCCCCCCACAAAAAAAAATACCAATGCATTTCTTCTCAATCAATCATTGACACAGGTCTAAAGAATATTTTACTGTATAGTTTAATCACTGTCTTGCTCTAACAGACAGAAGGGTCAAAACAAACACTTGTAAAAATAGGTCTAATAATACACTACTTTGATTCTATCAGATAGCTTTCTCAGAGGTAATGTAAGTCTATATGTTGTCCAAAATTTCCAGTTACCTTTAAATATCAGCTACTCAAGCGACTCTAGATGGCTAGCCTTTGAAATAATGGAGTTGAAAAACCCATAAGCTGGAATCTCTGTGTAAGAGATCATGACAGTAGAAAGGATGCATGGTAAGTATAGAGAAGAGGATAAAACAGAGATGAATGTTAGTAAAGGTAGTCTTCCCTTACATTGTTAATGTTTTGTTCAAGTCTGTTTCTTCTACTTTCCAGGCTATAAAAGAATAAGTGGTATGTGTTAAGTGCTCTGTACTAAAATTTGAGGTAAAGATAACAAGGCATTACTTCAAATCACCATGTCTCTTGATATCCTAACTGCAAGTTAAATTCTGTGTTTATATTCCAGATAATTCAGTCAATATGGGTAAAGCTAGATCAATGCAATGTATGACTATGTTATGAACTTTAGAAGTCTCCTATTCTTAGTTCTTTGGATTCATATGATGAAAGAAAAGGATGGTGTTTTACTATTGTTCCTGATATAATCCTCTGTGAGGGTCTTTACACTGCTGCTATATTTACTGCTCTATCTCTCTTGTTTCAACCTGCTGTTCTGTGTATCACAGTATGACTCCTCTTCTTTAAACACTAGCACTAGCTAACTAATGGGTAATAGTGCCAAGATAAAATAAAGTTTTGAATAATATATTCACACCAAAAAAACAACACTTGCAGAAGACAAAGATTTCTCAGGATATAAAAAGTAGTAAAACTAACCTTGTACGACTTCATGGCAATGAAAAAGTTCTCCACAAAATGTATCATTTCTTTT